GCCAATCATGAACATTCAAAGCTCAGCTAGTACGCTAGCTCAAGAAACCATGATCCTTATAACGACGTATGTTTCGTGAAASCCAGACAGACCTTCAGTGCAAGAAAGATTTTCAGYGCATGATTCAATTTCCGCATTGTATTTTTGCATGTATATAACTTTATATATTATACCTCAATTCTAACACGAGCGCTGATTGGCGGATTTCATRAGAAAAGCTAYGGTTKATWTCACCGGTAAACSAGCCTGCTGTCTTGAGAGACTTTTGAGTCTAAATGTATATATGCTTTTTTTTATTTCTTCTATTTTCTGCTATAATATAAAATCAATAAACGATAGCTTGAAGCGGCTTACTGGCGAAATAAACCGCTTGGGATGGTTGGGAGAGCACTCGAAAAGGTAAATCACTCGTGTTCTCCCAAACATCCTGCGCAGTTTATTTCGCAAGTAAAGCTTTTCAAGCTATCGTKTATTGCTTAAATATATCTTACTATACTAGATCAGTCGACTGTCCATGGTATAGCTCAATGACTATTACACACTATAAAAGGACATAAAAGAGCATGCAATTCCCATCCGTTGAAAATTATTCTATAAACAACATGCATATGAAAAAAAACTTACCGATGTTGTTTTTTTGTTTTCGAATATAATCGTTCTTCTTTGGTTTCAGTGCGGCTCTCATCTGATGGAGATTGAGTCCGGGCTGTGTTAATTGCACCACGATGATCTAGTTCTGCTCAGCATGCTTCTTGTTGCGTTGCCACGATACCATTTAGCCAAAATGATATTTCAAAAGAATTGGCCATCTGGCAATCTTCGRATTGTCACGTACTTGAAGAATACCCATTAAAGCTTTTCAGAGTACAAGATACGATAGCAATTTATGTCATAGTAAATAAATAAATAAATGTACGTTTTCCTTCACGTCAAGTGATCTYTCTTAAGATGGACGTCTCAGTTTGAAGCTGCTACTTTATTGCAGACTTGCATCCAGTCATTTCCCTTGCTTTTAAGAGACGCGCAATCCCAYCAACCTCTTCGAGCGTAGTCAAACAGAMTCTTGACTGCGTAAGAGGATGAGGGAGCAACGGCATATAATTATTATTMATTATTATTATCATTAATYATTATTATTRTTAATYATTATTATTGTTATTATTAAGGATCTCGTTATTTCAATGCGTAATTAAAATATTCAACTTATTTTTGCCTATGTAGTTTAATTCAATGGCGGCACTAATATACCATTGCGGGTATTAAACCCATCTCGCCATGAGACATTTTCCTTGAAAAATGTTCCATGTTTACGAACCGTCAAAGAGCTTCAAAGCTATATTTGTACAAGACCAAGTACAGCTTTTTGCACAAATTATGAGACATTTTTATATATATAAATATACCTAACCAA